TACGTGATGGAGACATGCAGGGGTGCATGGTGCAGGTACACAGGGGTGCATGGTGGGGTGCACAGGGGGGTGTGGAGGGGTTGTGCAGTGTCAGAACAGGGCAGGGTCTAGGCTTCTGTCCCCATGTGGCAGCTCAGCTCTCAGAGGGACGGGGCCAGGACCCTGGGAGCTCTCGGCAGGGATGCAGCTGCCTATGGGTGTCCAGGAGGAGGAGGGAGGAGGGGAGAGGCTCTGGTGGGGGTGCAGGACACTGGGGCGCACACGCCTGAGCACGGAGCACCCCCCCACAAGCTCTGTATCGCCCCCCCGCCACCCCACCATGACTGGGATGGGCCTGGCGACTTTCTGAGTGTGGAGATCCTCACTTTGCCAAGCCATGCTCAGAAAACGCTAGTGATTTTTCTTTTCTTTATTTATTTACGATATTTTTGCTATAAGGAAAAAATAAAAAGGTCTGTGTGGTGCTGCTTCTGGCTCTCGCCTCCCTCTCTGCCACCTCCCCCCCTGCATTTCCATTTGTAAGAGGCAGGGGCAGGCAGGGATGATGGGGCTGGGTACCCAGAGAGCACCCACACGTGCCATGTCCCATGCTGGGCCGCCCTCATAAGGGATGTACGAAGTGAATTTGATTGCCCATGTTTGGTGGTGAAGGGCAGAGAGGGTCGGTACCTTGTCCGAGGTCGCACAGCGCCCAGTGGTCTCCTCTGTGGGGGCAGAGGGAGCAGGGAACGAACCGCACAGAGGCCAGGGAGGCCAGGACCCGGCCTCACCGTGAGGCGCTGCCCTGCCACTAATCCTGGCAGAGCTGGCAGGGACTTTGTGAATGTCCTGGCCTGCACCCCCTCTCCCCCGCAGCTGGGTTGGGCTGGTCTCCTCCCCAGGGAGCTCCAGCGGGAATGCCAGAGGTCCCTTCGGGACTCACGACTGGTGGGTCCACAACGCAGTATGTGTGCTCACCTGTCCCATCCTGACCCTCACACGCACTGGCTCCTGCAGACACCCCTGCCCCAGGTGCCCGGTCCTCCCTGCACTCCTGCTGGCCCCCCAATGTTAGCCCCGGGCCTGGCTCACGCTGACTGTTGTCAGGTACCCAACCAGCTCTGAGCTGCTGGGGGCAAAAGTCACATCCCCTGCGCCGAGCCTCCCTGGGCTTCCATGGGAAGAATGGCCACCGTCCATGTTGATAGGAGCCAGGAGCCCTGGCCCTGGTGGGCACCTCATATGCTTCTCCCCCGTCGTTCCCTGGCAGAAGTTCCCCCTGGCCATCCTGTGGGGCTGGGAGTGCTATTGTGCTTACCCCGTGCCTCAGTTCAGCCTCCGGGATGCCGTGGATAGTGCGCTGTGTGGCCAGGAACCCAAGGCACGGAGGCTGGCCCAGTACTGTGAGGTCTACCAGATGCCTGTGCAGGGTGAGTTCTGCGGCTGGGGCATGAGGTGTGAGGGGCCTTACCTCTCATATCTGCTGTGTGTGCTCTCCGGGCGTTTGGAGGGACCAGTGCGGCCGCATGCATCCTGGGGTGGGGAGGGGAGGCCACCACCATCCCTGGAAGCTGGACATGGGGCACACCTGGCCTTTCGCTGAGTCTGGGGACAGGGGTGCTTTGAGGAACAGCAGGAGAGCTGTGAGGCGGGGCCCCACCACCCTCCGGCAGAATCTGGAATGTTCTGTGCTGTGTGGGAAGCCAGGGCTCACTGCCCGGGCCGTGGGAGGCCTCGTCATCCCCGGAGCTCTCTCTGGTACAGGCCTGGGCGGCCACCCCCTCCCCCTCCGAACCTGCCTCGGTTTCTCCATTGATGAAGCAGGAGACTGGGGGTGGTGGGTCCGAGTGGGGCGGTCGGTGGTCAGCCTCTGGCCTTTTAGACACTCGCTGCACAGACCGGCGGTTCCTGCCCACCAAGGCCAAGGTGTTTGTGGCTCTGTCGAGTTTCCCAGGAGCCAGGAACACGTGGGGACGGCACCTCATTGAGCACGCCACTGGCTTCTACACGGGGAGTTACTACTTCGATGGGACCCTGTACAACAAAGGTGAGTGAGGGCCGCGGGGCCTGGAGTCCCGGGGCCGGCCCAGGGGACTGGGGAACCGGCATTGCAAACACATTCACAGCCCTGCGGCCAGCCCGGGACTTGGGACATCCATCCTGGCGGCTTGCGCTCCCACGCTATGACCACTTTCCGAATTTCCCTTCGTTGGCAGTAATTCTGTGAGACGTCACCGGCTCATTTGTCTGATTTTCTGGGAGGCCAGAAGGAGCTCCTCAAAACGCTGTGTTTTTGAAGATGGGTGCAAAACCCTCCGGAGTTGTGTGGCCCCTAGTCTTTCCCTGCAGAAGCAAGAGGCCTCCCTGTGCTGAGTAGGACCGAGAACCCCAGCCAAGCCAGGGGCTGTCAGTCTGCTGTCAGGTGTCACCTCCGTTGCGTCCAGATTCCTGACCGGACTATGGTTTAGGAAGAGAAGCCCAGGTCCACAGCGTCCTGAGCTTGGCGGGGGGCTCTGGTCTGGTGGGAGAAGCCGAGAAAGCTGGTCGCTCATCCTTATGCCCTGAGTGTTACCGGCACCCCTAAGGGGGCGGCCGGATGACCTGTTCTGGGGTCCTGCCTGCTGTGGCCTGGCGCCTGTGGAGTCCTGTGGCACAGGCTGCTGGCTACCTGCTCATCTAGAGGACCATAGCCGTCTGCACAGCTGGTGGTTTTGGTCTGCAAGTGGCCCGGGGGCCCAGTGGCTGGCATGGCCACGTGTGATGGCCCTGGGGGTTCCCCCTGTGAGGCTTATGGGACTGGCACGGGGTGGCCGCTGGCCTCTGCACTGACCCGCCAGTGACATGCATGGGCACTTGGTCTGTCCTGGGCGACTGTGGCCCATGGGACACACAGAGCGGCCGCTGTGGGGCCAGCCCGCGGCACACAGAAGACACTGCAGGTCTTGGGGTGCTGGGGACCCGATCCCGATCCTGATTCTGTTTTTACAGCCCATGGTCTTGCTCCTCTTTCCCTCGTCCCCAGTGCTGGGCAGTACGAGCCCCAGCAACGGCTGACGGTTGTTAGGCCTGGGGCAGAGATCTGTTTGAACTGGGTTGGGTTCCAGGAGGCAAACCCGACTCAGAGGAGCCTTGCTTCCCAGCATCAAAGAACCCGGCCCTGCCTGCTGTACCTTTGCGTGCCCCCCGCCCCCGCTCACGAAGCAGGTGGTGTTGGGGCTCATCGCTGTCCCCAAGAGCCCAGGAGACACACATGCTCATTTATGGTGCATGGGTTCCTGGCTGGCGGACCCCGGGTCTGTCGGGATATGGCTAGAGTCTAGGTTCTGGGGCACCCTTCCGGGGGTCCTTCTGTGACATCTGGCTGCACCCCCTGATCGGCCCCCTACTCCTAGTTCCTGGGAGGTGTTGTGCTCCCTGGGACTGCACGTGGAGCTCCTCCATCCCCAGCATAAAGGTCACTGCTGAACGAGCCCACAGCGTCTTGCTGACCCACGTGTGACTCTGTTTACAGGTGGGGAGGACTGGGACCCTGCCACAGGACCCCGGGGCCCACTGCTGGGCAGGGGCTGGAAGCCCAGCCTCACGGGGACACCTGCACCAGGTGCCCAGAGCCCCATGCTGCCCTGCAATCCTGGAAGGTGTCCTGCCCACTCTGAACCATGCCTGCAGCCACGACTTCCTCACGGGTTGTTGGCGATGCTTGAGGGAAATTGCCTTGCAGACGCCCACACGCATGCGCCTGCAGGGTCCAGACTTGCGGGGTCTCCTGAAGGTATGCTCAGCTCTGCCTGTTGCCACGGCGGGGTCCATCACCATCCTCAGCGGCCCCCCATCTCCCCCGCAGGGTTCAAAGGCGAGAAGGACCACTAAAGCAGCCGGCGCACCATCTGTGAGAAGACCCACGAGAGGGGCCACAGGGAGATTGAGATGTTCAACTCGGCCAACCTGCTGATCCGGAACCCATACAGGTCCCTGGTGGCCGAGTTCAACCGCAAGTGTACTGGGCACCTGGGCTACATGGCCGACCGAAACTGGAAGAGCAAAGGTGGGCAGAAGGGGAATGGGGAGGCCGGGAAGCTCTTCTCCTGTGCAAAGACACCCGTTCCCGGCCCTGCCCAGGCTCGGCCGCTGCCCCCCTGCAGTGTGGCTGGGACACGGGTCCGGGTGGCGAGTGTTGGGACACTGAGCAGTCAGAGGGCAGCAGGTGTG